AATAGAGATTTTAGATCAAAACAAAATATTAAATAGTCTAGTTTTTTATTCAGATAGCTCACTTGGATTCTCAAAGAGCAAAGCAAAAATGAAAATAAATTTGGATTAGTAGAAGTCAAGAAGAAGGATATATTTTACACCAAGTAGTATACAGAACTAAAAAGTAGTTTTTATTAACAAGAGCTGAGCTAGTAGCAATTCTGGTGGTGCTTCTAGTAACATCTAAAGAAAAAGAAGTTGAGATAAGAATAGATAGTAATGCAGCTATATTTGCAATTAAAAAAGAGCTTAAAGCAAATAAAGTAAGACAATAGCTTAAAATTAAAAATAGTAGTCTAATCATAACAATAGTGGAAATGGTTAAAACAAAGTAACTAGCTCTCTACTTTACAAAAATTAAGGATCATTTAGAAGATATTTTTAATGACTTAGCAGATCTTAAAGCTAAGAAAGATACATCTTCCACATAGCACCTAACTCCTACAAAATATAGGAAAATTCAAGCTAAGGTACAAGTAGAAAAATGAAGTTATAGAAAAGCCAATACACTCTCTTGTTAAAATAGTGGGTAAAGTTATAAATAGAGTAAAATAAACTTTTGTATATAATAGTCAAAACACAATACACCAAGAAAAAAAAACTCTACAGTACTAGTCAATCTTCTACAAACTATTAGGAAGTAGAACCAAGCAGCAAAACTACACATACAAATTAAATTTAATACAGCTTTTTGAATTAAAGTATATAAATAATATTTTATCAGTTTTAGAGAAGCTTAATAAAAAAAAACCAGACATATACAGAACTGATAAATGTATCATATACAAGAAAAAAATAAAAAATATAAAACATTTAGTAAGCTGTGAAGTATCTTTGAATTTAGTATGAGATATAAAAAAACAAGAAGTCAAGCTGACTCTAAAAAAAATAGAAGGGTTCCAAGACTTGTATAAAAAGAAAAAAGAGATCTTAGTTATAATGAAAAAAGAAAGCATAGATAAAAAGCTCTGTAAAAGAGAGAGATGGATAAGAGATCTAATCACAAAAGAAGACTTTGATGAAATTTAGCTAAGCTTCAACTTCAACAAATAAATAAGAGACTTCATAGTAAGGCTTTGGAAAAGATAGATAAAAAAAATTTATAAAGAGATATAGATCACAAAATGTAAACTAGTACAAGAGTAGGAGAAAGAGGTATAATGTAAAAAGAAAAAAGAGAATTTAGTACAGATACCAAGAGAAAAAAAAAAAAAAAAAACAAAAAGAAAAGAAAAAAGAGAGAAAGTAAAAAGAAGGATCTAGTAATGAGCTCCATAAAAAAAATAAATAAATAAATAAAACTAAAACAAAATAAAAAGCAGTTTTAGAATTAACCAAAAATAAAGTTTTGAGTTAGATAAAAGATGAGCAATGGGCAGAATAGTGAAAAATTTAATTAGTAATCTTGACAAACTATAAAAACCATCCAAGAAGATACTAATAAACCTATTTGCAAAGTAAATTAGTATAAAGATAAATCTTACTATAGCAGGTTGCATATAGAAATTCTCTAAACAACTGTGTGAGCCAATACTTGTAACTTAGATATCAGGAAGAATAGCTCTCTGAAAATTTAATATTTCAAAGTATAATATTATTAAATCTAATAAAGTAGTGATAAGACTGCAAAAATTTTAAAAAAATTCATTAAATTTAGTTATATTAAGATATCTTTGTTCAAAATTTTTTAAAAAAATTTAGCACAACTTCTATTTAATTGATATTTTAATTTTTTATAAAGCTTTGAGCAAAAATATTTCAACAACTATTAGACCAAATTTAATAAAAATTTTTTTATTTGAATCTATAAATCTACAGAATTTAAATTAAATAAAAAATTCTCAAATTTAGTGCAGCTTTTATTTTAACAGAGAAATTTGTGCTGCACAGATTTTACTAACTGGCAGCATAGATTTCACTTTATTGTATTATAATTATCTGTACTATATATACTGTATATATATATAGTTATGTATATTTATAGTACTATATAACATATAAATTATAAAATCAGTATTATTTTTTTATAGTAAAATCCAATTAAAATCAGTTGAATATAAGAAAATAAAACTATATTTAATCTCTAACTTGCCTTAGTATAATACAACTATGTTAGAATTGATTTTTTGATATTAGTTAACTAATTAAAAACTAATATCAAATATTATATAAAAAAAATCAAAATAAATATTCACTTATGAAATATAGACTAGTAAATTGCCTTTTTAGTTCTATATTATATTATAGCTCTCAATTAGAACACTAACCTAAACTCTAATTTAAACTCTAAATACAAATTAAACTGCTATATTAAAATATTATTATATAGTATAACCCTGGGTAATTCAATTTCTAGAATTTATTTTTTTTAGTTCTGGATAGTCTCATATATATAAGCTGCAGTTGTTTCTATCTTTGGGTTTTTTGACAATTAATTAAATTTATTATATTTATCACTCTTATTGTATTTATTACATTTTTTAAAGATAATGCATTAATAGTATATAAAGAATTTCAGTACTATTTCAGTGATTTAATAAATTTCTAGTTATAAGTGATTAAAGAGTTTGAATTATTATAAAACACACCTATGGTGTTTTTACACCTATGTATAATTTCTTTTAATAAAATTTAGGGTTAGGGTTAGTAAATTAAGAATTATTTTTTTTATATAATATATTATAGAGCTATAAGGGCCAGATAGGGCCCAATCTCAGTTCTTATAAGGTTTTTGGGGGTCCTGAACATTTTTACTTAGAGGACCTGATCCCGTTTACTTAGTACGTTTTTGAGAAACAGGACCTATGGTATAAAAACACCATAGGTACGTTTTAGTAAAATCCAAAGAGTTTTATTAAATTAATTTCTCAAATTATGTTTATTTTGCTATATATAAATATATCTATAAATAAAGAGCATTTTCACCCAGTTGGAAAAATATCATTCAAAGAAACAATAAATGTTCATTATTATTTATTTGCTCAAAAATACAGTTATTCATTAATTCCCTAACCCAATCCTAATTTTAAGGTGAATCTTTGTTGATTGTTTCTTTGATAAACCTATACCATTACACTACCTGATTTTACCTTCCTTTTGGTAAATTCTGTATCTTAGTTGAACTAACTTGCCCATCGTTGGTTGATTCTTTAGTCGTATCCCTATGGGTTGTTGATACTTGATTTCCTTGAGTGTTGGCTCCGGGTGAATAGTTATTGATTCAATGTTGCTGGTCACGTGAGATTATTCGAAGGATGACTGAAGCCTTAGAACTATTCCACTCACCAAATCTAAACATCTCTTTTGCTACGTTGTCTTGTTATTGTGTTTGGTTTTAGTTAGTTTTAGGTTGGATTTAGTTGTCATCGTAGTCCCTCCCCTCATTTCCGGCCTAACAGCAGCTATAGTAATAATCATTTTAAAGTAATATAGTATTTAAAGAAGTCATACAAGAATTAACAGCTCTAAAAATCTTTAATAGGCTGAAATTGGTCTACAAAACTCTTCGTCATATGATGTTAGGTTTTCACATGATATTCTTTCAATCGAACATTATCAATCAATATAATGATTAATTTCTTGTATCGATTTAAAATTCTCTCAAGCACATAATTAATAGGTCGAAGCTCAATTTCTAATTTGTGGAAAATAGTTTAACCAGTAAGTGGGTTCATTATCTCGATGAAAAAAAAGGTCGAAACCATCTTAGACTTGTTCTGATTAACTAAAATTTATCATCCGCATTTTGTAATATGAATCTTTAGCAAAATTACAGTAAGGATTGCTTCAATTAATCGTAGCACTCTATGCACAATCTCAGTGGCTAGCTAATCACATTGAGAGCACCCTTAGTCTCTAAGTTTAGCGATTATTTATTGGTTTAATTGATCTAAGTATTTAATATGAGCTGTTTATCTCTCATTTAGCTTCTTATCCGCATTAGTCTTATGTATAATTATCATCTACCAAGAACATTTCTAATTATACAGATTGGTATGACCAGGCCCGTACGCAGGGTTGGCAATGGACTATGCCCATTGAAAATAAGTTTGTCAATGGATCTCAATGGACCAATATCATAATCCATTGGCCCATTAGCATAAGTCAGAATAAAGCCAACACAAAAAATCTCGAATATCACGCGGTATAGTATTCTAAACTCCTTTATAAAAGCTATATAATTATTTTACTTGTCCATTGGTCCATTGGAATAGTGACCATCCAATGAAACCAATAGAACTGGTCAATGGACTTGGGGATCCATTCATACCAATGGACATATGTGCCCTGTACGGTATGGGGTGTGAAATACCCCTATTTTTAATATCTATTCCGGCGTTATGTATTATTAGAGTTAGCATTAGACAATTAGTATAAAATGTTTTTTAAAGAGGTATGCTGAGTTTAGTTATATTCCCGATATTTAATTATTTTAATTCAAAACTATTTACAGTATAACCTGTCAGAACCGATCCTGTAAAAACTGATAACCTGTCAAAATCGATGAAAAATTGATCCACCCTGTCTGTTTCTAATAATGTAATTTTAACTTCTTAAACCTGATAACCTTTTAAAGCTGGTAAAAAATTTGTCTATTATGCATATCGGTTTTGACAACATTTTCTAAATTAAGCTTATATTCACCCGTTCCTAGTTTGGCGCGAAAATGTCGCGCAGCTACTTATTCAAAGAACAGTTGACTCAGTGATCAACGATCACACATCACGACGTTATTTGTTTTGACAAAATTAAACAAACTGGTCTAAACTATATCACTAACCTAGCCCTAACGTGGGCCCGGTGGTTGTCATGTAACATTGTGATGATCACTGAGTTAATTAATAATATTAAACTCGAAGGTCTCATCCTGATGATAAACAGTGTAGACTTGTAGAATGCGCCATTAATTGTATATAAGAACGTAAAATTTTTCCAATTTAAACTCTTAAATCGTGAAAAAAATGAAGTGTCTTCAATTCCAAAATTTCCTTGTATTAATAGTTTTATTTATTTCTACATTCACTACACACTTGTCCGCCATTCCGACAGAAAAGAGAGAAGCAAAATTGGCTTCTTCGTATGATTTCAATTATTTTTTAATTTCTAGTGAATTATATATATATATATATATATATATTTGCAACTAATTTCTGCTTTATAAAAAATTTTTGCTAAAAGGCTCTTACAAGAAAGAAAACCCTGTGGTCCCGTAAGTGTCAATTATTATTGTTATCAAATATATGATAGATTGATAGAAAATTTAATTCTATTCCTTTTCTTGTTCTTTTAGAATGAGACTAAGTGTGGAAAAAGATGTTGTGAACCTGGTACTTACTGCTTCGATGGGAGTAATTGCTCTCACTAGTATGCAGGTAAATACATTTATTTTAAAATCTATACAGTTATTATTGAATCAATTTCGAATGTTATTATAATTTATACAATATTTTTACAGTTAGCCTTATAACACTATTTAGGTCTTAATATTCAGCTATGCGAATAATTCACAGTAAAGCTTATACTAATTTAAGTACAAAGCAAATTTAGAAGAGACTAAAGCGACCTTAAGCTAATTGCTCATAGAATAGAAAAATTTTTTACAACAAAAATATTCAATTTTTCTATCTATATTATATAAATTGATAAAGTAGATATTTTGACCTGTTATAAATTTATCAATAAAAATGTAGCAAAATATATAAAAAATATACATTTTTTAAAATGTGATTAATTCTGAATGCTACAAATGCTACAACCTACAATGTCGTAAAATATGTTAGAATATCATATTATAGTTATAGCACCAAAAAAATTGGTGGTCCGGTGACTATAACAGATCATTGACTGAAATTATTTTCGTATCCATGAAGTTCGTACCCAAAATATTTATACTCGAAACGTAACAATCCAAATAAAATTTTAGATAATCTTTTATTTCGGGCAGACGGGTGGGTCAACTCGCGGGTCGCACTTAAACACGTGGATCGAGGGGTTTCTGAATGTGGACAGTCAGCGAACATAAAATACGAGCAAAGTCATGGGAGTTTTTTTTTTAAAAAGTATATTTTTACGATATTTTTTAGATCCACACAGGTTGTGATTTTTTTTAGTTGATCCAATTTACACCCGGGTGCAGATTTTTTATACGGGGTCGGAACACTAATAAATTAAAAAAAGAAGTTGGCTCGCAAATGAACCTGAAATGTATAGAATAATTAGGTCGACTACGTATCTGCTTCCCCTGAGTCGACACTTTATATGAGTGCGCGTTATTTTGGGACGCGCATGGGCGTTTTTGGATCATTTATACCATTTTCAGAAGGTATGATTTTTAAATAACGATCATGCCCGTTGATAGCTAAAATTACGTCATAATACCTGTAGCACAACTCTATGAAAAAGGCCATCTTTTTCATCGTGATGATGATCGACTGAACTTTTTTTTTACCTAATTAAAAATTGATCTTCGAACTTATTAACGTTAATCCTTAAATATCTTAAGTACCGGTATATATATAGTTATATAGGTGATTACCAATTGATTTTTAATATATATGTAATTATAAAACGTAATGTGTATTTCCCTAGCATCCCCAACCTAAAAAATTTCGTAATTGGGCCGAATTAAAATTTAAGATCAGGTGTAACATAAAATTAAACTAAAAATATCCAAACCCTAACTCTAACCTAACCCTACTAACCCTAACTCTGGTAGCGAAATTTTTTAGGGTGGTCATAGCCAGCACTACCGATATTATTAAACAGCTCTATGCTGCTGCAACAAAATTGGACCGGTAGATTCTCGATTTTCATTGGCTAGGAGCGACGATCAAAAATTAGGCCGAATTAAATCGTAGCCGCCTATTAAGTGAAAATTGTTCCTGGGCCAATTTTACCATAATGCGGGCTTATTTTTTGAGAATTTCTATTTTTGTAATGAAAAATTAAAAAGTTAATTCCGGCCGGAAATTAGTAAACAATTACGTAATGTGGGCCAATATTTTGAAAATCCTCGTTGCCAATCACTTTACTTACTTTTGCAGGTATTAAAAGCTAATTTTCCAAATTCTGTACAATGTTGATCATCAATACAAATAAGACCAATAAAAAATAACTACGGATTTTCTGCAAATTCGATAATTTCGGTGAATTCAGCAAATTCGGCAAATTCACCGCAATTGCAGAATTCTGGACACCCTAGATGATATAGCCCGTGCAACGATTTACTTCGTCTTAACTATTCCAAAAAGATACTTTATGAGATCATAATGTTTCACGTTCTTAATCGATCATGAATTTTCCTATCTATTTTTGGCATGGATCGCAATATAAATATGATATGTTTCGTTTGAATTTCCTTTTTAAAACCCCCAAAAAAATGCTTTCAATATTACCTACTACTTTGATTCTTCTAGAAACCTTTATCTTTGGTTTCGTGACCTACGTACTGTATTACTATTATAAATATTTTACTCGTCCATGTCCGCTTCCAGGACCATTTCCTTTACCACTTATTGGTATATACGTACCTTTATTTGTTCTTGTGTAACTAAATGATTTATTAATCTTGCTCTTAACGTTAAAATTGAATAGGAAATCTTCATCAATACTCTGGTGATGATTCGGCTTCAGCGAAAAAACTTCAATCAATTTATGGTGATATGTGGGAAACCTATAAAGGTCCTATAAGAACTGTTTGGCTAGCTAGAAATGATTTATTTGAAAAAATCTTCAGTCCTTCTACCAATAATGCTTTCCTTATTCGTGCATTATCAAATTCTGGTCTTGAAGAATTTAATACTACTAAAATTGGCATGACTTTTAATAATGATTTAAAGGAGTGGTCTTATAATCGTAAATTTATGAGTAAGGCTATTATGTCCCCAAATTTCATTAAACAAGTCGTTGAAGGAACTCAAGATATTTTTGAAGTGATGGAAAAATGTTGGCAAAGTCTTTGGGAAAATCTTGGAAATGATCAAATTTTTGATATACACAATTGGATACTACTTGCTACTTCTGAATCTATTATTCTTTTAACCACCCACAAGAGAGCTTATTCTATAATCGATTATTATAACAATTTATTACCTACTAAAAAATTTGATACTCCTATTGGTGCATTAGAAGAATCTGAAAATTATATTGCAAGCATAAGAACTTATATTAGAGCTATGGAATTTTTTTTTACTACTCCAAAAATTATTCGTATTCTTCCTGGAGTTCGACGATATGCTCAAAATTTGATTAAGAATAGAGACTTATTGTACGAGTATTTAAAAAAAATAATCCATGAACGCAGAAAAGAAATCGAGAAAATTCTTGATAAAAATTCTCTAACAGCAGATTTATTAACTTCATTCTTGACTACCAATACTTCTCTCGATGTTTCAAATGTTTCTGATGAAACACATGTTGAACCCATGTCTGATGAACAAATTTGTGGAAATCTTATTGAAGTTTTTGCCGCTGGAACCGATTCAGTATGTTAATATATTACTTATAAATTTACATTTAAATCTTTTATATCATAAAAATTTAAAAGTTTAAATAAATTTCCATTTTTATTAGGTCGCCAATAGTATTACTTTTATTATCTATTACTTGGCACATTACCCTAAAGTTAAAGAACGTGTGGTTAAAGAATTAGAAACTGTCTTTGGACGTGATCCAAACTATCGTTTCACAGTAGATGACTTGTCTAAATTAAAATATTGTGAAGCTGTTATCAAAGAAGGTTAGTTACTTATAAGATATTGGGCGTACGATGAAAAATTCCATGTTATTTTCGTATGTCCAATATTGATGTTATTGTTCATATTATATTAGCATGTGAATTTTTTGTCGTGACATTTTGCATAAATGATGATGTCATTTTATGACTAAAATTTCAAGGCAAAAAATTTTTACATGATAATATCACATGAACATATCTCATGAAAATTACTAAATATTGATATTATAATTATTGCGATAAAGCATCATTAAACTTAACCATGTCCATGGACTAATATTATTTTTTACAGTTTCAAGGATTTTCCCTTCGGCTCCAACAACTTTCCGTACATCAACTAAACCTGTCGAAATAGGTGGTTACATTTTTCCTGAAAATTTACAGTTCTTCATTTACATAGAGGGTGCCAACAATCACCCTCAACATTGGACTGATCCAGACACCTTCAATCCAGACCGGTTTCTTGATGATTCAAATAAAGTGATTAATACGTTCGGTGGTGGATTACGTATGTGTCCAGGTCGAAATTTATCTATAATAGAAATTTTAAGTTTTATAGTCATGCTATACCGAAAGTATGATATTGAGTTGGTTGATATGAATGCGCCAATTAAGTATAATTTTAATATTATCAGGCAATGCGTAAAAATGGAAGCCAGAATCATTCCTAGAAAGTTTGAGTAAATTGTTCCTTATAATACTACTATATGGTCAATAATTTGTATAGTATAATAAAGAAAACTCATGACGTATATTTGTACTTACAGCCTTATCCATATGAATGAAATTCTTTAAATGATAATAATTCATGAGATTTAGTTCAATTATTTACGTGACATTATGTAACTGATAATTACTGAAATTAAAGTATAAAAATATAATAAAAATGAATCGCACAATTGTATTTGATTGGTCGATTATTTTTTAGTCATAACACCGCTTATAAAACGCACAAACTACTCTACTGTATATAGACGTTATTTAATATAATACCTAACAGGTAAATAATTTTAGCATTCCTTAATATATAATATAAATGCTTCGTCAAGTCTAATGTGAAGGTTTAACAAGCTCTAATTCACCTTTGCTGAGAATTATATTTAATGGCAATAATTCAGAAAAATCTCCATCGCTTTGAATATGTATGCCACTTAGACGCATAGTTTTTAAATTTTGTAAATAAGAAAATACAGGACATCCGCTATTACCTATACAAGATATTTGGAAAGAGTTTTTACCATAAAATATAAAATCCTTGAAAGGTATACCTTCTGAAAACGTATTAATTGTAATAAGTCCTTTTATATATCCGCAAGTAACATGCGAACATGAGCACCATGGTTAGTCATTTCTATACCCCACTTCAAATATTTAACTCAGTATAATTTTCGAAATCTGTATTTCTTATAAGTGTTGTCATTGATTTTAAGTATTGCTACCTGTTATATCAATCAAATCAAATAGTATCTGCCTATATTATCAGATCCTACCATTCGTCCAAGTAAATTGAGTTTAGGAGAATCCACGCCATATTATCAAAATTTACTGAATCAGCAATCGTGGTCGAGAACAATGTCCAGGCAGTTACAATGTATTTTTAAAATCATATCTTACGATCTGCTACAATTTCTAATCCTAATATCGATATAATAATGGATCAATATAATCGAAGTTTAAAATAGGAATATTTTATACTCATGCTGTACCCGATCATGTATGTCATGTATTATACCCTGGTCACTATATCAAGATCGCAGGGCATAAATCAGTTATGTCCTGGGCACTATGTGATAAGCGGGGC